ACACACACACACACACACACACACACACACACACACACACACACACACACTGTGTTTAAGTCTGCTTGGGAACAGTTACGGAAAATCTGCCGTTCCATGGGTTATATATATAGCCTGGGAGGCAGGTGGGGGTCAGAGGTCAGGGCCACCTCCTCAAAAAGACTGTGTGTGTTCTGAAGAACTGAAGACTGGGTCCCTGCAGTAGACAAGAGGACCTGGTCCATCTTAAGGCGGCTGAGACAAGTCTGGCCCATGTTGGGCCAAATTCATAGCTCTCCTCAGCCATGTGCAGCCTGAAGCCTGGGCGGTGGACATGCCTGCTAGGCCATCAGAAACCAGAAAGGAGGTATCACAATCAAAATGAACATACATGTAAGAGCCTGTGGTTTGTCACCAGAAGTTGGGGTGACAGTGGGCTCTTACTAGACAGCCTGCTGAGGCTCTTAGGGTTCTAGCTTTGTAAAAGGCAGCTCACCTGGATTGTCCCATTGGCCTTGAAGACATTCATGCTCACTCCTAACCAGGCTCATGCTTTCCTGGGACACACACATCTCTCTTTGAGCAACTGTGCACACATGGGGCCCAAATACCCCCAAATATGGCTGCCTTCCACCAGCCAGCCAGTACCTTCATTCAGGTGCCTGCTCGCTACTTCTTGAGGTTTCAAGGTAACTGTATAGGCTCTCTGCATTCCTGGGATGCTACACTCGTGTCACAGTGTGATTGTACTGAGTCTTGAACTGGAATCAAGCCTCCAGACTACACCACAGTCCTGCTCTACCACATATACACAGAGGGTGGCATCTACCCAGGCTGTGGGACCAGAGACTGGCAGCTTCCAGCTTGCAGCTTGTAGCATCCCTGGTTATCTCTGGTAAACCAAGTGGGAGGCCCTGGACTGGCTTCTGAATCTACAGCCAATGGTGCCGGATCTCAGGAACCTGGGGTGGAAAAGCAGCTTGCATGTATGAATCCAGAGCTTGCATTTCCTGTCCAGTGGAAGTCTTCTCATTCACAAGGGAGAAACTCAGGGAGGAACACTCTGTACTTCTAATGCCCCCCGCCCCGTCCACTTGTCTCTTTGCTATCCAGACATTTGACACCCTTAGTCTGACCCAATGGGCTTTCAAAGGGAGAAAGAATGTGATGGGAGGGAAAGGAAGTAACTGCCTGTTGACTGTAGCAATGTCCCCAAGTCTCGCCAGGGTACGAGCCCCATGCTTACTTATAGAGTTTCGTACTTTTATGAAGGGTGATAGGGGCCACTGAGACTTCAAACTCACCCAGCCATGGCTGAGGTCAAAGTCCAAAGCTTTGGTGTCAGACATAGTTGTTTGTGCAAGGAGTTGACTTATATGTACAGCGAGAGCAGATAGTTTTGGACAAGGTGAATAGTTTAGCCGTCTCTTTAATCCCTTCGCACAGCACGGACAACTGATGCTCCGACAGAGAGTTCTGAATTCAAGGACCCAGACGAACAGGCTTGCAGTAATTTTGGAATATTCTGTGGCTTTTTTTCATGAACATAAACTTTGCCTATTTGTGAAAGTCCCAACTGTTAGAAGATACAACCAACAAACCCTAGAGGAACAAGCGGCCCTTTGTTCCTTTTTTTCTCCTTCCCGGGAGAATCATGAACATAGAGTCCAGTGCGAAGTCGATTTGATGGTAGGGGAGAGGCTGCCAGGAGCCAGCAGCTCAATGCCTTCTCTCTAATGAGAGACAGTGAGAGGCTCTCAGCCCCCAGCAGTCCCCAGGCATGGGTCCTGCAGTAGGCCACACTGTTGTTTTGTCCTCTTTAGATTGGCCACTTTACTATTGCATACATCAACATTAGATGTCGGAACCAGCACGTCTTTTTCCGGTCCTGCCAGGTGGCTGACTTGTTTTTACTGATGAGTCCTGTAGTGCCAGGAATCAGGGAGAGGAGACCCCTGCTCCCATTTGTCCTGTGGCCACAGCTGATTCTATATGGGAGTTTCCAGGTTGCATTTGCTGTGTGCTGAGACTCATACTGAAAGGGGCTGACAACATTCCATGAACTGAGTCTGAGTCTCAGACTGAGTAAGAGCAGAAAGGCAACTGAGCACTCAGAATTTACCTGTCCCTGCTTCCTGACAGGGGATGGGAGGTAAGGCTGCTGCCTCTCGTTCCTGGTGACAGGGTTTCCCTGTAGTAATAGACCTTACCCTGCGTCTGTGAGCTCAAACCCACATTTCCTTAAATTACTTTTGTCAAAACTTTTGTAGCAGCGATCTGAAAGCTAACTAAGCACTTATTACAGATTCACTGGGACAAGAGAAGGGATCGGAGTGGCTGAGAACAGAGAGAGGGAGGAAGGGAGGGAGGGAGGGAGGGAGGGAGGGAGGGAGAGAGAGAGAGAGAGAGAGAGAGAGAGAGAGAGAGAGAGAGAGAGAGAATATTAAGGACTGTCTGTTTTACTCTCAGAACACCTACCTCCCCTCTCTGTTTTCATATAATAAGCAGAGGCTAGTCTCAGACATTTCTTTTGGATAACTCTTCTTCTCAACTGTCTACTTGTATTTCACGAGAAAAGACTTGGATGTGACACACTTCTCCCTTCACTACAAGAGCTTGGTATCACCCTTCAGAGTCTGTGACAACATTCCTGACACTCTTTCTCCGGAGCTACAGGTTGTTCCTACAAGTGGCACCATGGGGACATGGCCTTTGCCTCCCTAACCTTTAAGGGCTCAGATCAACACTGAGTAAGAAGAGTGTTAGCAAGAACACAGAAGCTTGGACTGCAACTGTGTAACAAAAACTTTGTACGTGCTTTTGGTTTGATCTGGCTTTGCCACAGGCTTAAAAAAATATAGGTGTGTGTGTGTGTGTGTGTGTGTGTGTGTGTGTGTGCTCCTGTGTGGAGAACAGAGGTCAAATTCAGCTGTCATTCTCCAGGTGCAATCCACCTCGTATTTTGATACACGATCTCTCATTTTATCTGAACTAGCTGATTATGGTAGACTCTGTCTTTGTCACCCTAATACTAGGATTATAAGCACACACCACCATGCTTTTCTACATGGTCTCTCGGAGTCAAGCTAAGGCCCTTATGCTCACACTGGTAACAGTTTCCTGAGTCCTGGCTTTCAGCAGCAAGGGCAAGAGGTGGGGGAATCCAAACGATTAAACATGAAGACATCCCCCTTGTAGCCAACAGGCTAATAGGTGAATCCAAAGTCTGGCCCTCTTTGATTTTGTACAGTTCTCATCGTACCCTCCTGCACACTAACTTTCAGCTTTCAGAGTCACTGTCAATTACTCTGTGGCCTCATTCATTTAGTGTGCTGGGCACTGGGCTGATCATGTGAGGCTCCCTTTGGGAGCCTTGGACCATGGTGTGGACACTATGGGGTGCAATCGTGTTGTGGCTTTGTTGGTGTGAGTGAGGCCTGAGTGTGATAAGTCTGCTGTAGGTTATTCTGTGCAGAGTGAGTATAAAGATCACATCTGGCTCCATTTCACTAGGTGCTAGGTATGTACTTATCCAGACAATGTCAAATGTCCTGGGGAGAACAGGCACTCCTAACCCATATATGGCGTGGGGCCAAGCAAAGGGGCCTGGACCTATCTCTTCTACCCAGCAGATGCATGTGGCTGTGTCCCAGGAATGGGAACATTGCTGACTGCTGGGACACATCAGGTCCTGAACATCTTCCAGCCCAGCTTAGGAAAGGAAGAAGGGAAGAAAGGAACCTGGAGATAGGATGTGAAGGTGCCTGTGTCCCCAGAGATTTTTCTTGATAGCGCTGGAGTTAGCTTTGAAATGTAACTCCAAGTAAAGGCTTGAAATAGACTGCTGTAGTCTGGGAGCCATGACCAGATGCTCTGTGGGCTTAGATACGGAATTTTTAGGCGGTGTGGTGCACGCACGCACATGTGTGTATGCTTACCCATGCATGAGTGCACTGGGTGGGGAGGAGTTGCAGAATTCAACTGATTCACGTTAGGTCCTCATTCCCACACTCCCTCCATGTGTGACATCGGGCAAGCTACCTGCTCTCAGTTTCGTTGTCTGTAAAGTAAGCATCGTAATCCCATCATGCAAAACAGTGACTGGGTTCTTTATTGTCAAGTTATCCTGAGGTCCCCTGAGGTCCGAGTCCTGTAAGGAAATGTCACTTTGCTTTCTCTTTAAAAAAGTTACAATTCAGACTTTTCAAGTGGATATCATGACTTAGGTTTTTGCTTGTTTGTTTGTTACAAAACTGCCTTCAGGCAACCTTGGCATTGCACTATCTAATTTCCTAGCCCTTTGCCCGTCGAGTTTGACATGAACAATTTGTCTCTGTATTGTTTACTTCCATAGGTTTTTACTCATAAACGATCCTTTCTGTTATTTGTGTTCTATTTGCCTGTGAGTTGAGTGTATACTAATGTTTGCAGAGTCCTCTTATAGAGTTTCAGGCCTCCTGAACATTTTTTTCTGAGCTCAAATTTCAGAGTTGATCTTTACTTTCAAAACCCTTGGGATTGTGATTGCTGGTTTGGAGGAGCCATG